TAAAAGGTTTACAAAGTCATAATTATTTAATAAAAAAGAAGTTTATGATACAAATTGCAGTTTGATAAAAATTTGGTTTTGAAAATGTGCAACCATGTAAACTTTGTCTATCTCGGCTGCAAACGTGAATAAAGCTTAAAAAGGAGCATACGAGAAGTAAACTACTTTTTGGCTGAGTTATTGCACTTAGTGTGTGCATCCAAGGCCTCCTTGAACAGCTTCCATCCTTCTGTCTTCTTGAACTCCTCCTCACTGATTCCTTCTTCCTCTTCACTGGACTCTGAATCCTGCTGAACATACAAAAAATGTCGGGTTAACTTTGGTGTAAGAACCTGTGAAGTTTGTCTTTGTTTTGTCACTATTGTTTTCCTAGTCTCTACTGTTTTGACTTCGTTACGTCACTCGTGAACGTAACAGGTTCTTATACCGAAGCTGAGCCAAAATGTCGAAGCCAAATAATAGAGTCAAATGGGGTAACTTCATCCTGGGCACTGAGAGCGGAGAAATTTCGGTAGGCTTACAGCCGACAGCGTTCAAATGTTTTTGCCTTGTATGCATGTTATATTTCATCTCTCAATATATACCCACCTCAGAACCAAAGGTCACGTTCACATTTCTCTTTGTTCTTTTTCCATAAAATTTCCTCAGTTCTTCCTAGAATCATATAAGTAATATGCAAGAGTTAATGCCATGCATAAATTGGCACTGAAAGTTACCTATTGTGCAGTCCTCGTTTTGTGATATTTTTTTTTTCTTCCAGGCCTAAATTGCCACGAGAGGAATAAGAAGGAACCTGTTTAATGTTTTGAGGAGATCTTGCTACAGAGAGAAATCTGTCAGAGGGGCACAGGTCCCGCCAGTGGAAAAAAAACAACGCTGGTAAAAATGCTGGCAAAGCTTATCGTTGCATTACCCCGCCCAAGTATGTACTCTCACTTTTTTTTCCCACGATCTAAAGGAGCTTGACATTCTAATCAGATCTTCTGTTGGAATCATATTGATGTATTATTCTTTTGCTTTTGTCATGAAAAAATACTCGGATCATTCAGCGTTTCTGGGAAACCAGAGTAAATAGACTCGGTAGAAATCGTCTCGATATGATGACTACTCGACATGCCACTAGGACGTGTCGTCGGTCCGTTTCACGAACAAGTATCGTTTTCCCAACGAGTAATTCGAACGAGTGTGGTTTAAACGAGTCACGTCCTTGTGGCATATCGAGTACTCATCATATCGAGAAGATTTTTTATCAAGTCCTTATACCCTGGTTTCCCAGAAACGCTGTGTGATCCAAATACTCGTGCGCAGTGAGTGGTCATGTCATTAAAAAATCAGAGAGTTGTGGCGCGTTTTTATTAGCAGTAAGGCTGAAGTGGTTGCTTTATTTTTATTACAACCGAGCGGAAGCCTTGAACCTTGTGTCTTCACTGAAGAATACCAAGTGGGGTAACAACATTATTAAATATTTGCGTAACTGTTTGGGACATGTATGTGTCGGGCATACCTACATATGTTTTTTTTTTTAATTCCTACCTGCCTATGTGAGCGGGAAGATTGTTTTTCAGAGTTCCAAACCTTGTCACCTCCTCCTGTTTCTTCATCTTTTTCTCTTTCGATACGCCCCTTGAGTCTCTTCCTCTGCAATTTCGTGAAATACAAGTAAAAAAATAATTAGAGCTCAACTTGATCATGACAACGAAATGTTTCAGTTTATCTGATATCATGTTCTGGTAACGTTTCCAAAACACACATCGCCGGAGAAAAAACAACATTTTGATGAATTAACCACCTCACTTGCAGAGGTCCGATTGGCGAAACATCCCCCTAAAAGATTTTGAGTTCAGGAAACATATTGAGTTTTTCGGTCCTTCGTCAACAGTTAAGGTAGTAGTGATATTTATGGTTGTGCTACACACAACTTCTTAAAGTCTTAAAGTACCATGAGACCTTTGCATAATTTTTACCGGTATACTACAATAAAATTTAAACTCATAAAACAAGTTAGAAGGAGCCAACGATGGCTTTCCTGTACATCGAACATCGTTTGGAATTCTATCCCTGAATGTTAGTGTGGAGCTAACTATGTGTCTGTGATTAACACCCCTGTTTTGGTTTTTATCAAAACTTTCAGTCCGTACCAAATTTCTTTTGGAATACCGATGGTTATCATTTTGAGCTGCCATAAGGAACTTGCTTGAAAAAGTTTCATAAACGTCTAAAGTTCCTCTTCATAACAAGGGCATCTCTTATACAAAAACATAACATAACACCTTATTAGATCACAGCTGGACGAAACCTCACATACCTTTATGGCATAATATTAAGGCTATCTTTTTTGTGATCTTATCTTCTATAGTTTTGAATAATCTGAGAGTAACACTGAAGTAACAAATAAGTAACACTGAGAAAAAAACAGGCGTTT